AATATAGCAACCAACTAGTAAGTAGGCAATCGTGTTATATAAGAAAAAAATATATAAAATCATGTAATGCAAAAGAAAGTGGTTCACAAAAGGGAAATCATTCCGGGTAAAGAATTGATTTACCATTAGCCATGAAATGTGTTTCTCGTAAAGGAAATTACACTAAGTGATATAAATCTATATGAATATGTCGCTGAAGAAACAAGGATATTGTTACAAAAGACCGTTATTTATTTTATTTTAACCACAATTTAAATAATGTTACTATATCTTCTATATATATTTTAAATAATGTTACTACTTACTATATAATCGGTGATTAAATTTCAATTCAAGTACAATATAACAATAAATCTTAAAAATAATTTATCTTAATATGAGAACCGATTTCAAAAGAAACTAATAATAATAAGTAATTATATTTGTATTCCTGGCATAAGAATAACTTTAGAAACATATATAGTCACAATAACGCCTCCGTTTTTAAGTTATTTGTTCCAATAAAAGGAAGGAAAGAAGCATGTGATATAACTGTATTATATTATGGAATATTTCTTAGTCTTTGAGTGATTGATTAAGAAATAAATACTCACACACATTTGTGTATAAATGAATTTGTAAAGAATGCACTGATCACATAACAAACACAAGACAGAGTATCAAATAATCGTTCGTATTTGTTGCAATAGAATGGCTATCCGTTAGGCAGTTTGTATGCGTCAGCACGTTCTGATGGTAATGCTGTCGAATAGGCAGCATAACTGCTGGGAAACGCAATGTTTCCCAGCAGTTATGCTCAGGCCGACGCATTGCATTTCTACGTTACTTTGTCTCAATTTCAATTCCTGTCTGATCCGTTGGAATTAATATCCAGCATTGAACCTTTGTATAGTTAGGTTTAATTATGAAGATACAACGTTCAATTGAAATTATAGTGAATTTAGAAATAAATTGAATAACTTCAATTATAATTTTACACTAAATAATAAATATTAATTTTACAATAAATATTCCTTAGACTTTAATAAAGTTAATACATCTGCTAAAAATGTTTTATTACATGCTAATAAGGACTATGATAGAAGATTCTTCAGTGTAAGTATCTACATCCGTTTAAAAAGATTAAATAACTAAGAAGAATAGAAATCAATTTGAACACACTCATAGGAGTTTTGAGCGTACTACAAAACAATACGCTCTACAACGTGGAAACACGTGCAATAATGCAAGTCTCAAGAGCATTGAAGCCAGCCCTTGTTAGTGGATTATCAGGCGCTATTTAATTTATAAGACCGTAAGCATTCTTTGATACTGGTTAGTTTAGTAAAAAAGGGGCTTTTTTATGTTTTACAATATCCGAACAAGAACTTCCATACATTATATACGTAGGATATGTGTATACAATAAGAGTGAGTGTTGTATCATATATTTGTTTATTATTATTATTTCTGTAATTATTTTACCTGATATAAACAGACCGACATAGACAGAAATGCCTACTTAATATTGAAGCTATATTTAAATTACCACATTCATATGTTTTCTAACATTTATTTATAGCTTCTATATGTACTGTCATGATAATATTTATTTATTAAGTTGAGTAAAATTAAAGTGTTTTCTGGATCTAAAATAAATGTCTACCAATACATATGTATCAATGTATATATATTGTTCATATTCCATCTGTGAATATTAACTACTCATCTCATATTATGACATTCATTATGAATGAAGATATTAATGAATAATAATTAAATTACAGTAAAATGTTATTCTGTATAATTGGCTCCGTTATTCAAACTTTCGGTTTTATCTCAACAGATTATTCCATTAAAATGAATAGAAAAACTTTTTAAGTGGGGTACTATATATTAATCCAAGTGCAAATATCCGCTTAAAGCCAAGCACAAAGTTTTGACACGGAGTTATAAGTTGAAAGTTTTGTACCAGCACATTATATTAGAAATTAGGATATAGGAAGCAAAGTTTTAGCATATTCCGTCGTTTACCGCAAACCAATGTGAAATGTTCACATTGTTGACTTAAAGATAAAAGTCCATTTATTCCATAATATGTCCGTTATGAAAAATAATTTCCTTTTATAAAGGTATTTTAGAAATTTTTATCTAAAATCTTAAGTATAAAGTTGCTGCGCATGTAACGATTTTCATAGCTTTTGTACCTTTTTTTATCTACGAGTAGGAACAAACACACAAATATACATATGTGTATGATGTTGATTTATATTTTGAGATGTAACTTTTTCATTTATATGAAATACACAGTATTCGCTGGCGTCTATACTCGCGTGGGCTGCATAAAAATCAGCACATTTATTGCTGTACTAATGCAATTCAATAGAACGTGACGAAACTGTAAGTAGGATTTTTAACTATGAAACGAAAACAAATGTTTTTAATTGGTTGTTATTAAAAATCTTTGATTTCTGATATCATTGAATTCAACCTGAAATTGTCAATCGCAGTTATTGAATTGTGACTATTTTAACCTGCGAGTTTAGTTGAATAATTATATAAGAATTAAGATCCACGGTAAAAATAAAAATATGATACATAATATAAGAAAAACAAATATTAAATACCTACGTATTAAGAAAAAAATATTTATCTAGTCGTATATAAAATTATATCTACATAAATTAATAAATTTACTAACTAACTAAAATATAAGAAAAAAATTTCTAGACTAGAATATAAGAAAGATTTATTTCGAACATTAGAAATGGCACCAGTGTGAAAAATTCTAGAAAACACCAAGACGTTTTAATACTATTTCTATATGTTCAAAAATATGAAGCTGTATCTTTACAAAAGAACGGATAATATAGAAACATTATGAGTAAAAAAATAACTACTAGTTAATTTTCAGAATAAACCTAAATCTTCATTCAAATGCAAGCCAATTAAGATAATTTGAAATCTTCTTATAGAACAAAAATTGTACCGTGTTTATTGTAATTAAGAAAATTATTTCAATTTATAATATTACTATATAATACTTATCACAGTATAAACGTTTTGGGAAACATAAGGAGATAACCGTATGAGATCTTTCAAGTAAATTACCATTAATAGGTCGTTAGACGGGAGATAGTTAAGGATAGTTAAACGTTAGTATAGTGTAGAACAGATTGAACGCTAATGTTCTTAAAACATCAGCTCGGGTATCAACATACAAGGAATTGTAACACAAGAAATAGCCGCTGTTTATATGAAATTTATACTTGCGTGTTTTTATATACGCTGTTCATATTTACATTCCGACTGTTGCATGTCGTACTTCAAAGCAAACAATTTGAATATGTGATGCGTTTTTAAATACCAGCGAGGACTTTCATTTATTTGTACTAATAGATTAAACTTCATCAAAATCCTTGACTTCGCAGAGTTTCTTGAAAGAGGCTTTGGGAATGCACTCATTATGTACTTAGCTTCGTATGAATATGTATTAATTAATTAATATTTTAAGACGGCTTACGAAATTATATGCTAAAGTTACAGCAGTTCCTTGAATATAATAATGTAAGTCTTTATTTTATCAATGTAACAAGATTGTTGTGTATTTGTATTTTTATAACGCCTTACTTAGTAAGCACAATCATAAAATTCTTCAAAAACATATGTTGTGCATGTTCTTTTATTTTAAATATTAAAATAAAAGGACATGTACAACATATGTTGGTGGTAGAGCCTAGTTGGTAGAGCCTAGGCTCGGCCGGGGAAGTACCACCCTCTCATAGAAGATCGGCGTGAAGTAGCCTTTAATGGCTGCGTTTCGTCCGATGAGTGAGAGAGCCGGTTGCCCTTTCCCTATTCCCTACCCTTTCCTACCATTTCCTTATTCCCACTCCTTCCTATCCCTAAAAAATAAGGTTGGCAACGCATCCGCAACAAAGATGTTGCGGATGTCCGTGGGCGACGGTAACCACCTTCCATCAAGTGGGCCGTCAGCTCGTTTGCCAGCTTACGCATAAAAAAATAAAAAAAAAATTATAAAATAAAACAAACCCGCACATAAATGTGATTTCAAGGTAGAAATATATTAAGTAATATTCGTATTGAAACATTAATTGAAAACTTTAAGTAAAATAAACAGAGAAAATATAATCTTAATAAATTATTAATGACAAGTTCTCGATAAGAAGATTGCTTATATTTCAATAAAATCTGATTGGAATTATATCATCTTAGGACGTGTATAATCTACTTATATATAGACAACTTTTCATCTGTCTGTATTATATTAATGAAATGGTGTAGTATTAGAAGCTAAATAGCTTAACAATGTATAAATAACCTTGTTTAATAAACAAAAAATTTTTAAAATAAAATACAATTAAGTACGATGGCTGATAATACTCTTATCTTACTTAAAATCAGACCGTATCAGTCAGTGACGCATCATGTTGAATATCATGATCAAAATGTCTTAATAGAATTAATAGTTTGTAAAAGTTAGTCAGCAGTCATCAATTAAAACCTTCATACAAATGCTACAATTACATCTGACGATTGAGTCTTATTATAAGACGTATACGACCGTATTTACAGCGCTTCGAATGTTCATAAGTTTTAAGAGATAAATCGGGGTAGGAAAAGTTGGCGACTTTAAGACGCGACTCCCTGGCGTCTGTGACGTAACAATACTGTAGGTCAGTGGAACAGCATATAGATACTCCTTGAATTCAAGGACAAACAAATAAGCTGGAGGTTTACCTCGCCACTCATGTACGTACTGTCAATTCAATTGTTTTATAGTAATATAAACGCATACTTGTTACCTTACTTGTATTAAATTAAGAATAGCTTACACGATGATTTCAATTAATGTAAATGTTAGAGTCGTAAAAGTTGAATAATATTGCAAAATTTATATTTCTAAGGTTACTATCCAATTTAGGAAATATAATATATCTAGTCGTATATAAAATTTATAATACGAGGTCGTGAAAAAAGTACAAATACACAGAGATCCATTCAAATGTATATGTCGTATCTGTCTATTGTGGAGAGCGCCAACGTAATAAAGGAATCTGGTATTGGGGTCATCCCCGAGGGTGCGTCGGCGACTAGGTGGCGGGCCAAGCCGGCGCCGGCAGCGGGATCGATGCCAGCCCACGATCTCAGCTCAAATGGAACCTGACACGAGGATTTACACATACCTTCCAAGAGGATGTTATGACTCATTGACGTTGTTTTCGCTCATATTTATGAGTACTGTCAAGTCATAGAGGAAATTTATTATAAAAATATAGTTATTTTTTCTACCTTGTTATTTATTTTACTTGTATTTATTTTAATTTCAAAGAATACATTATGAACTAATAATAATAGTTGGAATAATGAACAGTTTTAAGACAGTTCGATATAATTTCATTTTTGTAAAGATGGTCTTAAAATCGAAAAGCATAAAGTCTAAGATGTATTTTCTCGATAATCGTTTATTTATACAGCGCGTAGGATGTGTTTTCTCGTTATTTCTGAGTCCTGTTTTATTTTTATGAAAAATATCCATACTATCTGGGATTATTATTTTTAAATTATGTTTTTTGAGGTCCGATACTATTTTAGGTACATAAACATGTAAGGAAATAATAAGAAAATAAATAGCGGTGACAATTATTTGACCAATTGTAAATACTAGTTAATATAAGTTATAAAAAATAAATGTTATTACAAAAGTCACTCTCACAGACCCTAAAATCTTCATAAATAATAATAAATCAATTAAGTTTATTTTGCCTTGTAGCTATCGTAGCTAATCAATCAAAATAAGGCAATCAATACTTTAAAAAACACTTCGAGCTTCATAATACCATTAAAATATGACATCATGATATTAGTTTATCAATAGTTTTATCTTTTTCTTTAGAACATCAATGTTAAAACCAATCGCATAATTATGATATCCTAAATCGGATGAAACGCTTCTAAAATTTTCAGTTAAGTGCCATCCAACCGATAAAAGTTTCACTTGCTTTCTCGTTTCATAAAACCACACATTATACATTTTACACATATAGAGTATACATATATATCAATATTATATTCTTGACGAGACACCTCTAATTCATCTTCTTTTACTTATCGCCATGTGTTCTATAACACATAAGTACAAAAGAACTACACTTAACTTAATCAAGTTAAAAGTTTTCAACTCAATTAAGCTGTAAAGTCCATTTGTAGCAAATTAACTTTAGCTTCTATAGTTGTCGTGGGCCTGGTGCCATACATTCACACTAGTAGCTTCAATATCTTTTATTTACTATAACACATATATGAAGGGTTTCTACTCATATTTCCTTTCTAAATCTTACATCCAATATTCAACATAGTTAGCACAGATATTGCACTCAAGTATTTAGCTCATAAATTTTCCAATATAAACAATTGTATAACCCATGAGTATTGGACTAAAATAAAAATGAGTAAAAATATAGTATTACAAAACAGAAGCTATAAATGACGAGGAGGTGAATCTTTCATTAAAATATTGTGTAGGCTTGGCCTGACATCAAAATCGTGTTATAAAGCCAACAGACTTGCGATCACAGTCTATTTATTTGCAGCAATCCTTTGAGCGACACACTATCTTAATTAGGCCAGCTTTCGTAAAGTTTTGAGACGCGCTTGTTTTGTGGAATGTTTCATCTCCGTGCTCAATTTTCCAGTAAAAGCACACACGCATAAAATACTCAGTATACTATGGAACTCTAAATATTTTAATGCAGACATGTAATATACCTTTTATGACCTCACTAATAGAGTGGGGCTACAATATTGTTTACGTGATACTATACGATGGAATTCTTTACGACAGTAAGGACAATAATTATGATTTGATATCCTGACCTCTATAATACTTGCCATTTGAAATGAACATTAGAGGACATAATAGCTGATATAAGAAAATACATAAATAAATAATGTTCCATTCACTTAAAATACTAATACTAATACGTTTGAGATAAAAACTGTTCTTTTATATAAATAATATATACTATTTATATAATTCGCTAACTAGAAATGTTACAAAAGCTACAGAAAAAATGATTGTACATTTTTTATAGCTTTTAAAATGTCACTTACTGTTCCCATTTAGTTTCGTCCATCAGAAAAAAGTTATGAAATTTTTGAATTCATTTCATTGATGAAATTCCTCAATACATATACAGTGTCGAGTACATTTATTATTAATTGAACTTTTAATTTTTATGTGAAGTACATAAAAAATCAAAATTAAAAAAAGTAACTATACGTAGCTATGAAAACTCACATAGTGAAACGTAAATTTGTTCTACTTATAAAAATTATTAGTTCATTAAAATATTTAAAGTAACAGTTGGAATTTTTATTTATTTTTAAGTAAAAGAAACAAAGGCGCTATAAAAATATTTTGCATGACATTCACGTTAATAATGTGTTCCGTGTAAAAGTTGAAGTTCATTAAGGCTATTCTAAAGATTAATAATATTATTTAAGAGTTAACATTGAATCTATAAAATTATAAATATATTATTTCATTTCTTAGCTTTTCAAATAACATTAATATATTTCTTAATTCCAAGCTAACATATTTTAAAAGGCACTCATTTGTTAAAGAATACAACAGCAAACATTCTGAAAAATATCATTCATTCCAGAATTTTCTCCAACAAAACATAACTTAAGAAATTTTATCTACAAACAACGAGAAATGTCGCAGACTATATTATAATATATAAGTATTATCATAATAAACATGCTATGTATATTTCGTTAACAAGTAAATCGAGATTTACGTAAATTAACATAGTCGCTTGCTTCACTGAACGATCCCGCAAAGCCTTGGCGTTGACAACAGTTGGAAGCGACAAATGTTACCAATCATTATAGCTTGTCTTCCACATCAGTAACGAGACCTTCTGTTTAAACACATGATTACTTTGATTACATTTAACCGATACACAATTGTATAAGTAGTATGACATATATATAAATATTTATAGGAGATTTTTTTTCAAAGACGTTATCCCACTTATAATAAAGAAACCTAAACCTAACTAAATGAAAAATCTCTAATACTTCTAACGATCCCACTCTTTATTTAATATTTATCGAGATTAGAATAAATATACATTAGTTAATGTTTAGTTTCATTAGGAATATACTAAGATATGCTATAATAAACAACTCGTGAAATTCAAATTCATGTTGTTATACATTTTTATATCTGTAAAGCTATAGAGATTGTGTGTTCTTAAATATTGAATATATTATAATTACGATTAGTACAAGCCCTTTTTTATTCAATTCTATAAAAACTGAATATTGAAACGTAGGAAGGTGAAACTTTTAAAACCGTACGTGGTATGTTATGTAAAAATAGAAATAACAGACGTCATGCGGGAAAAGTGCGGACAAAAACTATTTTAGAAGCTTTTTTCTACCGACATATGAAAAATTACATATCACCATGTCCATTAAGATATTTACTTGATTCACGCTTGGAATTTAATACATGAAGTCAGATTAAATAAAGACAGCATCATTAAAAATATATTCATATTTCATGATGATTCTAATAAAAAAAGATAACTACAATTTTATTATGAATGTGAATTTATTAAACCGAAATCATTAAAACCGTGTTAATTTGTTGGATCACTCAATCAAAGTCGGGTTAAAGTCAGTCATCTGTAAATATTAAATAAAATGTAAAATTCAGACACGACCACGACCCTAGTACGTCACTATTGATTAGCGTTTATAGAGTAATTGTATCTGAGAACACTTACTTCTAAACGACTAACTAAATAGAGCAAACAGCTAAAGGATAATTGTCTATTTCGCTTAATTTAGAACTCTGCTTTCTTGTTGAAGTATTCGCAATACAGTATATACATTGTATGTAAACATAATAAATGACATGAATAAGTTCTATATGAAATTGTTACACAATTTCAACATTCATTTCATTTCTGAAAAAATTACACCTAATTTTAATTCTTGTACGTAGGAGGTATTAAAAGAGAATAATGGATCCTTAGAAACCAATGAAAAACTTTTCTTACCTTCTACTTCTCTTAAGAAAGTTGACTGAACTTAAGTCATTTGACAATAATAATCTTTTCTCACATTTTCTGTTAGGACTATTCTATATTATCACTTGGTTAACATTACATTCTACTACTATGTGAGATAATTTAAACTGGTTATTCCTTTACAAGGATTGGACTTGCTTTGATATGTTATCTGCATGGGGCAGTTGGCAATATTCCTGTCAATCAATAATTATTGTTCCAATACTCGCCATAAACCTAGTTCGCACTAAATTCACTTCATGTACCGTTATATTTACGAGACATAAAATATTATGCCGTCGTAAAATATTGTATGAATGTTTATAAAAATATAATAAATAGGAACATAACCAGTAATTTTATTGCTAAATGGTAAGATGTTGATGACAAACTATTTACTTTTGATTGAAAAAGAAGTTTAAGTAAAAAGTATATAATAGTTAAATTAAGATTTTTCATACAGAGCCCTTTACTTGATGCTTCCGTTCTCAGAAAACTCTACTAAAAATTTATTACGGTCTAGTCGAATACATTTCCTGGAGGCATAGAGAACAGATATACAAGCATGCAACCTTAACATATACATATATGGTATAAAATATGATTGATTATGATAAAAATCCAACCATTTGAATAGATATAGAAACATTTTCCTCAAATTTGTTAAAGATTTAAAACAATTACACTTAATATCAAAATAATTCTGAATTAACAAATAAAAACTTGTGACAAAAAAAAAATTCTTTGATATTCTTAAAGAACCAACAATTAAATACCAAATATTTCTTGAACACTATGTGGCAAAGAATAAGTACATAAATATTCTAAATGTGGTATTTATTTCCGGAACCAAAACTAATATGAAAGTAAGCACGTGTCGCTGTGTTATCTGATAATACGAAGATGAATTCTTACGAGTTAGAAAAAATCTACGAAATATTTACACATGGCAAACGATGTTTTCCTCATTTTGTATAATTTAACAAATAATAATGAGTCACACTACTATCTTTTATTATATTTTACCATACTAAAAAGAGTTTCATTTAAAAGTTATTAAAATAAAATTTAAATTATTTAATATTATTGGATTTGTAACATATCCATTTTTCAGCCAACACAATT